TGCAGTCCAGCCTGTGATTTTTGCTGCTGTCTGAACCCTGCTAATATCATTACACTCACATCACACACACATTTCCTTGATTCTCTGATCAAAGTATCACCAGGATGTCCGCCTTTAATCTCTTGCCATTTGTTAGCAATCGGTTCCAGTCCAGGGGCTGAAATGTGTATCGCTCTGAAGTCACCCCACAGGATATTTTTTTAAACTTGTCACATTTTTAGACCCACACCTTTTGTACTAAACTGGTTTATCACTACTATGTGCAGTAAATTATGCATATCTTTACATTAGTTTGTTTAGGATAATCCTGACAGAAGTGTATCCATCTCATGTTAACACAAGCAGATTATGACTAACTCTTCAGTATTTATTGAACTTGCTTCCCCTGTTAAGGTTTGGTGCAGTCTTTTTATGAGGCCTTGACTCTTAAAAAGAGGCCTTCTTTTCCCCCGTGTCTGCTGAAGGCTCGAAAAACTAGATTAGCCACCCTTTGAAAAACCGCAAAAATCACTAAACACCTCTTAACACATTGTAAGTAATGCAATCACTCAAGCCGAATTCTGAGAGATCGACAAACAAGCTGGTGTTTGACAGTAATCACGAGTTGAGCTGTCAGACAATGGAGTTTTCTGCTGTTGTCACCTTAAGCTACTGCTTCTAACCCACACCCTGACAAATAACACAAACATGCTTCACCTGCGGTATGTGAACGGAGGAGGCGTTGGAGCAGATTAACAGGTTTTTGTTTGTGAGTTAATGTTTTGAATAAAGACGCAGAGTTGGAGTGAAACTGAAAATGGTCTGTAAGCCCAGCATTGAGGATTGTACCTTTCTCCGCTGCCTGGTGCCCAGCACCCCGCCTTTTCCTGCCTATGCAGGACCTGGCACGCGCCGCCCTCTGTGGTTAAAACTGACTGAGGCCCAGTCACAGCAGCAGCGTCAGTGCCCCTGCCCAAGGCCAGAGCTGAGCACTATTTTTGGAAGAAAATGTTTCCATGAGCTCTGAAGGCACCAGAACCATTTGGTAACTATTTAGACCCATTTTGTGTAGGTGGGTGGATAGAAGTGCTCACTGTGTTCACTATGCATTGACTTCTTCTAGATGTTTCCAGTTTAGATCCTGTTTCTGAAAATACACCCACTTTTTCAGCATTGTTATAAAAACGTACGTCATTAGGAAAGAATAAAAAAAACATCCAGTCACTTAGCTCGAAGCTAAACATTCACTGCACAGTCAGTTTTTGTGTAAGTCAGTATTTAAAAACAAAAAAAAAGTGAGGAAGGAAATTAAGAAATACAATTGAAGCAAAACTTGAAGTAGACAGAAAGTTGAAAAAGGCATAAAGTCATGTTTTATAAAGTATCCTCAATTAGATTTACTTAATTTAATCTTGTTTTGTGATCAGATCTTTATTTCTTCTTACATCTCTACAGGCGCTCGTTTTACACACTCGAACAATTTTAGCGATTTGATTTTTTTTATAAATTATTTTTCTTCTTAACTATAAACCGAGGACACTATAAAAGA